TTCTACGGAAAATTATGTCCCAGGTTCCAAAAACTGCCTTTCAGAAATATGCTGGAGCACAACCTGTCAGTAAATGAGACAACCTATATAAAGTTATTTTCTCAGGAACTTTCAGCATCTTGTACACTTGACCTCAGACGATGGGTAATTAATCAGCTTTCTGTGCTGGCTTTGCAGTGGAAGAAGTTCTCCCGCCCTGAATAGTGGGAGACCTGCTTCAAGAACAACTATTGCTTGTTCTCAGACATTTGTCCCTTCTGCTGTCCTTGTTTTGCCCAAGGGAAATTGGTGCTGTCCTCACCTGGGCAGTGATGAATGGCCTGGGACAGAAGGAGGTGGCAAGAACTCCAGCTGGGTGCTTGCACGGACTGGGAGAAAGAGGTCACCTCTCAGGGTTTAGCTAACCCAAAGTCCCATTCCGAGGGCTCTGCCTGCAGAAGAGGCAAATAGCCATATTACCAGTGTTCTCCACCCTTCCTCTGCCCTTGTCCCTGGAACAAAGAACAGTGTTTGCGGTAGAAAAGATACAGATTCATAAATACACATGTGAAAAGGAGCTGCAGGGGCTTGTGTTGGCCCCAAGCTCAAACTGAATAAACAATATAATCTCAATCCCCTTAGCATCCCCACAAAAAAAGAAGACCTCAATAAACTATATTAAGGAAGTTTTAAAATGACACCCATACCTCCTGGTGAGACCACACCAAGGTCCGGACTCCTGACTAATTTAAGAGGTCACAGAAGCCGTGAAGGATACCCCAGCAGCACAGCCTAGCCAGGAAGGGAAGAGGTCTGCAGACGTCATCCGAATGGAGTCACGAGGTTGACCAAACGGGACTCAAAGACAGGCACCAGCAGCCCAGACGCCTCTGTGTGCATCAGAAAGAACTCGCAGGAGCAAAATCCAGGAGGAGAGAAATCAAGGGGACCTTGTTCACTTTAGGCCTAAACAGTTAATTAGAGAAAGACACATTCAAATAATTTTAGTACTTTTCAAATAGCCAGTGGCTGAATTAACCAGAAATCTATTTACATTGCAGTTAAACATCAAAGAAAAATATAGCCAAATAGTAAAAGGTGGAAAAATAACAAGGGTGCATTAAAACAAAACATTAAAGGAATGACTACCACCATGGCAACAGGGCATTAAACAGCAGTGCACTTAAGAAATAAAAATCATGAAAGGGACTCACTATAATCATTAACCAGAGAAATGCAAATTAAAAGTAAAAGGAGATATACTTTTCTCTTAACCTAACAAACTGACAATGACTTTTAAAATTAAAATACCTGTTTTGTCAAAGAGACAGGGAATTGGGCATTTTCATACCCAGTAGAATTTTAACTTTTCATGTTTGAAGAGAATAAATTAGCTCTATATATGTGTGAATATTATTTAAGTTTTGTGTCCCCTTTGCCAGCAATTATACTTTGGGGAATGTATTCTGAAAAAAAAATTATCCATGTGTATTTAGAAAATTTAGATACAAGAATGCTTTTGCCTAAATGTCCAATAATTGGAAGCTGTTAAGGAAGTACAGGTAGGCTGTGCACACCTGGAGGACCGCAGACCCCAGGCTCTGGCACCGCCTTGGGGTCTCCAGGGCATCCCATCAAGTGACCGTGCAGCTGCCAGAGCCCATGCTCACGTCCTGGACCTTTGCTCTCAACAGCAGTGGCTGGTACTCATAGGTGCCCTCCATGTCCTGGACCCTGAACCAGGCACTTTGCACGCTTCATCTCGCCAAACCCTCACCTCACCCAATAAGGGAGGACATGAGACTTGGGGAGGCAGAACCCACATCAGGTCAAAGTTGGCAACCCACAGAGCTGGGGCTGGAGGGCAGGACGGCCTGCTTTCACACCCCGTGTCCTCATCACGTGGCCGGGCTCTTGTCTCTATTCCTCAGAGGAGACTTCTGGGTCACTCGGTTCAACCTCCTTGTTTTTCAGAGGGAGAAATTGAGACTTCGCAAGGGTCTCTGATGCAAATTAAAACCACAGGGAGACACCACTCACACCAGTCAGAACAGCCACCATCAACAAATCAGCAAACAACAAGTGCTGGCGAGGTTGTGGAGGAAAGGGGACCCTCGTGCCCTGTTGGTGGGAATGCAGACTGGTGCAGCCACTGTGGAAAGCAGTATGGAGTTTCCTCAGAAAACTAAAAATGGAACTGCCTTCTGACCCAGAGATCCCACAGCTGGAATTAAACCTCAAGAATATTGAAACACCAAATCAAAAGAACCTGGGCACCCCAATGTTCATAGCAGCATTATTTACAATAGCCAAGTGCTGGAAGCAACCTAAGTGCCCATCAGTAAATGAGTGGATCAAAAAACTGGTACATTTACACAATGGAATTCTACGCAGCAGAGAGAAAGAAGGAACTCCTACCCTTTGTGACAACATAGATGGATCCAGAGAGTATTATGCTAAGTGAAATAAGCCAGGCAGTGAAAGACAAATACCATATGATCTCACCTATATGTGGAACATAATTAATGAAATGAACAAATGAGCCAAATAGAACCAGAGACATGGAAAAAAGGGACAGACTGACAGTGACCAGAGGAGAAGGGGAGGGGGATAGTGGGGGAAATAAGAGGAAGGGACTAGTCAAAGGACATCTATGAGTGACCCATGGACATGACAGCAGGGTGAGAGCTGACCGTGGGAGTGTGGGTTGGGCAGGGCAGGGAAGAGCAATGGGGGAAATTTGGCACAACTGTAATAGAACAACAATAAAAAAATAAATAATGGGGTAGGGGTCTCTGTGGGTGTTGGGTTGGGTTCTGCTGATACCTCAGTGATCAAGGCAACATCCCTGAGTCCAGGGAGCTTAATTCTAGCTGTGGGGAGGGAGGCCAGAAGACCAGACAAGTGAACCCATAAGTAGGAAAATTACAAACATGAGAGGTACAAGAAAGAAGACAAAACCAGGAGCTAGAGAACGCCTGTGGTGAGAATGCCAGGGGTTTAGAAAGAGTGGGTCAGGAAGCTGGCCCCAAGAAGTGACAAGTGTTGACACTGGAGGGCCGAGAATATCATGCAAAGATCTGGGGAAGGAGCTTTCTGGCAGAGGAAACAGTGCAGAAGCCCCGAGGTGCAAACAAACCCGATGTGATCAAAGGACCCCCAAAGGGTAGACGAGAGAGAGCCCCCCAATGTACCGTTTCTGCTCCCCCAGGAGGAGCGAAGTGTGAGGGGTGACTGCAGAAGGCCAGCCCCAGGGGTGTGCAGGGGCAGGGCAGACCACAGTGCTGGAAGAAGCCTTGATTTAAAGAGAGTTTCTGCCGTGTACTTGGAGTGAGGAACAGAATGTGCCAGGTGGCCGGGATGTGTTTCTGAGGGAAACGTAAGCAGGGACGCAACCTGAGTCATCCAGCAGGAGCTGAAACAAAGAGGAGGATGTAGACCTGTTGTGGGGTCACCAGCATTCACCTTGGTCGGGCAGAAGTCCTCGCCTGCAAGGCCCATGGTCTTGGCTGTGCCCAGGCAGCTGTGAGTGCCCCCATTCTGCTAATGCCTTGAGCCAAGGGCAAGAGACTTGGGCCGCTGCCCCAGGACCACCCAGCCTTCGATGGCTCAGCTCCACCACCCTCCTGTGCACCAGGCCTGGCCCCAGACAACTTGGGGTGGTTTTCAAAAAGCAGTTATGCCCTTTCAAGTAAAAAAATGAGTGAATAACAGAGATGGAATTGCACCAGTCTAGCAACATGCGTGCATATGCGCATGCTCACGCCCAAACACAAGCTGTGTGACCTTGGGCAAATTTCTGGACCTCTCTGTGCCTCAGGCTGCAAGGGTGGGATATATGGGACCACATCTAAGGGCCCTTCCCAGTATAAACTGATAGTGAATTGATGGTTTCTACATGTAATTTGTCCCCAAAGAGGGTTTTTCCAAGGACTAAACCCTGGGCTCTGTTGCCCTTTCTAGGAGAGGGGTTCAGTCATGGTTTAAGAAAAGGCCGTGCAGAGGCCAAGGGTAATGGTTCCCCATGGCAGCATTCAAATGGATGTGAGAGCTTCCAGGCCTAGAGAGAAAAGATGCTTTCAGTACTTTGAGACCACAGTCAGAACGTTAATATCACCAATAAAATTTAGTTCTGAAATTTCGTTTAATGGGAGAAAAGAATTCTTTTTCATTGTCATTACCAGACCCTGCTGTGCTATGGAAGAGGAAAGAGAAGGGTATGATGTCAGGTCAGAGCAGCCCTTGCCCCTGGGCCCCTGGGACCTGGCCGAGGGCCTTACTCAGGCCGCATGGAGCTCAGAACCCACAAGGCCACCAGGGTATGCCCAGCCTGTACCTCTCTCCTTTTTAGACCATGCCCTGAATTCCCTGCCCAAGTGGAGCTGCTTCTGGTGCCGGGGAATCTCTTGCCTAGGTCAACCTCTTGAGGGTGAACCACTCCTCTGCAGGGGGCAAGGGGCCGCTGATGCTGGAAGGCGGGGAGGTGTGTGTGGATGGAGCTTGGCTGGGCTGCCAGGGTGGACCATGGAGCAAGGCCAGCTCTCCTCGCGCTGCCGGGTCCAGCCGGAAGCTGGAGCCCTACAATTAGGAAGATATATTTCTTAGGATGGGGAGGTAGAAAAGATTTTATTGATCAGTGTGTGGGTCTATCTGTAATTTACATCTTTAGACATAGGAGGTGGTCCTCCACTGGTGCTCTAGCCCCAGGCCCTGCAAATATCGGGGGGACCCTGGTTAGGGTTCATGATTCTTTCACTCTAACTTTGCCAGATATGAGTGTTCAAATTTCAGCCCTGCCACTCACTAGCTCGGTGGTGCTAGGCAAGTCAACTTCCCAGAATCAGTTTCCTCACCTGTGAAACAGGAGTGATTGTGGTACCCGTCCTGTGAGGTGGTTGTGAGGATTAAATGAGATCACGCACAGGAAGAGCCTGGACGTTCGGAAGGTCTCGGCTCTCGGCACTGCATGCCTGACGTCCCTGCCGGTTGTAACTGCTGTCCCCCCACCCCTTGTTTTCCAGACCCCACAGCAGTATGAGAGAGAGTACAACAGCAAGCGGTCGGGCGTGGGACCCAGCAAGTTCCACGGGTATGCCTACGACGGCATCTGGGTCATCGCCAAGACGCTGCAGAGGGCCATGGAGACGCTGCACGCCAGCAGCCGGCACCAGCGGATCCAGGACTTCAACTACACGGACCACACGCTGGGCAGGATCATCCTCAACGCCATGAATGAGACCAACTTCTTCGGGGTCACGGTCAGTCCCAGTCCCCCGGCTGTGCTTTCCTTGGTGCCCCTTGGAGACAGGTGTGGCCAGGAGGGCTGTGTCCCACACCCTCTGACGCTAGATCCATTTCCTCAGATTGCTAATGTAACTTCCTGTGGGCCATGGGCTTTCAGAGCTGCGGAAACGTGAAGGTGCCGTGGACGCTCTTGGGCACGTTGGGAAATGCTTTCCTGTAACGTGTGGATTAGAGAGGCTGTAATGAGTGGGCTGCATGCAGAGTGGGTGGAACTCGCCAGGAGGTGGGGCGGGTAGCAGAAGCTCTAGACTAACGTTAGATTAAAATCCTGGACCTTTACTTTCAAGTTACTTCTTCAAACACAGTTTTCATTCCCGAAATGGAAATAATACCTACTCTGGTAGGTAATTATAAAGGTCAGCCATTACAGAGTAAAAACTGCTCATGTTTGTTGAGCAAGCAACTTGCTCTGAGCCTCAAGTGTTTTATCTGGGAAATGGGGATAATGATGTGTGTCTTGCAAAGAAGTTGGTAAAATTAACAGTGATAATAATGGCTAATAATTTTTGAATGCTTATATGCTAGATACTATGCTAATAAGCACTTTGTGTAGCTTAAACTCAATACTGTATGCCCGGTGCTAGGCACTCAAGAAATGCTAGTGCTAGTTATTGCTGATAATGGTCTCATCACATCCCTTTGTCAGTCATAGGAAGCAGGTCTGCTATTATCCCCATTAGAGGTGAGGAGCCTGGAGCTCAGAGCATTTAAGCATTGAATGTGATCAGAGAGAGCTGGAATTTGGACTGGGTCTGGCTCTTAATTGTCGTGTTACCCTACCTCCTTGTAATGGGCCTAAGTGGCAGTGATTTCTGTCTCATGATGATGTATTTGTCATTGACTCTGCTCCCAGAAAATGTGAAAAATGTATCTAAAGAGTAGGTTGAAATGGCTAAAGTGCTGCCTCAGTGTTGAAGAGTCGTTTACGGAATCAGTCTGTCTTGGGGCATTAAGAGAAGGAGATAGGATGAGTTGGTTGGTGCATTTTGTGAATATTCCTGTTCCTAGTGCACACACTCGGGCTGGCCCCAGGGTCTGGTGGGCTGAGCACTGAGCCCCTGCGCAGGTGTCAGGGGCACCGAGGCACCGAGGCAAGTGAGATGGGCTCCCTGTCCTGGAGCCTGTGGTCCAGACGCAGGGGCCGGACCTCAACACAAATGACAAGAGGTGCTCCGTGCTATGGGAGAAGCTATGTGAGCCCAGAGGGATTTCTGTAACCTTTCACTGCGGCCTCCTCCGTGAAAAAGTCCAAGGAGGCCTCTGGGAAGAGGCAGCCTGTGAGCTGTGCCTCCGACATGCCAGAGAAGGGACTGGCATCTGGCCGGGTGGAGCGTGGTGCACAAGAGGGAGACGCAGGCGCATGTGGCGGGAACGCTGGAAAGGAGGACAACGAGGCTGGGAAGGTAGATCGGATCGGTGCCCGCTTCTGAAGGAACAAGCTAAGGAGATGGGCCTTTCTCTTCAAAGTCAAGGCTTCTCCAAGTGTACCCCGACCGGCAGCACCAGTGTGCCCTGGGAGCCGGTTAGAAACACAGAGGCTCCATCCAGCCCTACCCCGGACCCTCGGACTCAGAGCCCGGGGGGCTGGGCCCCGAGGCTGTGGTGTAGCAAACCCGCTCCACGATTCTAATGCACGCTGGAGCTCAAGGACCAGCGGAGTGGGTGATCGCAGCACAGCCTACATTCAGGCTGGAAAGTTTAACAGCTCTCCTCAGAAGAGTGGTTTTAAAAAAAATCTTTTTTATCCTCAGAACCTCTTATAAAATCTCACGTGGTGCCTGGTATAAACCATTCAGGTGGAAAAGGAGCTTCTCAGGTGAACGGAGGAGGAGCCTGGAGCCCTGTCTGTTTAGCCCCCTCTTCCCATAGCCCCCGCCTCATCCCACCCCACAGCCCGGAGGCCTCTCCCTTCAGAAGGCCCCACAGAGCACCAAAGACTTTTGTCTTCATGTACAAATCCAGACTGAGACTTACAGAGGGATGGGGTTCCCCCGGGGCCCCACTGTAGCAGAGCTATCTCAAGACAAGGGAACACCGATTCAGGTCATCTTTACCCACGTGGCTTCTCACTTAATAGAATGAGTTCATAGAACCCCAAGTTGCAGTGGCTGGATAGAGAGCTACAGAATCTAGGAAGCATTTTGCTGTCTCTCATCACCCTAGAACTCAGGCATTTGGCCTGAGGTGTCTTAGCTGGACATCATTTATAACCACTTCTAAGTGCTCCCTTTCATCTGAGCCAAATAATTCATGGTCCCTACCTGATGAGCAATTAAATAAGACAGCCTGAATCGCTCCCCATGCTGGAAGATGAGTTTCTTTTTAATGGGAAATTCCTTGACACATATTTATGACCGCTCCGACTTGTGACTCATAATTCAGCGAGCGTCAGACCCGAAAGCGGTCTTATAGATCCTCCAAATGCACCCCCTCACATTGTGCATGAGGATCTGCGGTACAGGCAGGGGGCTTCCAAAGTCACAGGGGAGGAGACTGATTTGGCAAAGCCAGGGAGCTCTGCTTGGTCCGTCTGCCCTTCTCTGTGCCAGTCGCCCATCAGCTGAGACAGAGGTTGCAACAGAGAAACAGTTCTCCACTCCCTCCCTGCCCTGCCGTTTCTCCTGAGCCCCTTTGTCCCATATTAATAGGTGCTCGTCCCTGGGTTGTAGTACAGGTTTCATTAAAATTGTCTTCCAATCAGAGGGGGAAAAAGGACACCTGCTGACAAAAGAAAAAGTGTCTCTGTGGTCCAAGGAGACCATAGAAGGCCAAGTTCGGTCATAAATAAAGAGCTAGAAAGGACAGGAGCAGGAGAAAATAGATAGAAGCATTTCCTCTTGGCTGAAGGGTTTTCATTACACAGCACACACTGTATCCATTTTTCCCCTCTTAGGCAGACGCCTTCTTCCGGGTCACCCATTCAGCATGTTTACTATACAGAAAATCGTTTAAACACATTAAGTCAGTTGTATCTCTGACTCAATTTTAATAGATTCAGTATGCACACTCTCAGCTGGGAGCCGGGCCGGTGGCTCCTGGCTGGCAGGTGGAAGAGGAGATTTTGCCATGCACCCCAGGCCTGGAGTCTGGCGTAGCTCGGGGTCCGGCTCTGTTTTGTGTCCTCAGGGAACACCCAGAAGTGGGATTCCGTGTGTCCACCTGCACACAGGTGGCCTGGGGATCCTGTCTACCATGGATTCCCTACATGCCCGGATCTGATTTTCAGCCCGGTTATAACTTCTCTGGTTCACTATTTAGGTCTCAAAAGCCAGAGAATTTTGAGAATCCCCCTTGGCAGAGCTCATGTGCAGGGCAGCGATTCCTAAACTTCTGTATGCATGAGACTCTCCCAGAGAGCTTCGTTAAAACGTCAGCTTTCCCAGCCCTGCCCCAGGACTCATGATGCAGGGGCTTTGCAGTAACACCAGGGAATCCACTGTATCAACAAGCCGTCTGGGCGACCCCCAAACAGCAACCTACAGGATTGCTCGGGGCTTCGTTGCATGCACACACACACATTTTGATTTTTTAAGTCTGTCAGAGATGTGTTTGTTCCTGTGTTCATTCTCTCCTTTGGTAGACTCTGCCCTGGGTACTGAGAGTGGGAGCGTAGACAGGTATAGCGTGTGGTCCCTCCCTCCAGAGCCCCTGCCCAGGGCAGGAGAGAGGCAAGTAGAGAAATATTTGCTGGGCAGTAAGTATCCAATGTCTGCCCAAGGTCCCTGGAGGGAGGATCCCATTCTGCTTACAGAAATAAAGACCTGGGAGCTGTCCTCAATTTTCTTGCAGTTCAGTGGGCAAAGCAACATGCGTGAGTAATTGTAAGGTACCCATGCTGTGGGTGCTGGTCATCCCGTGCCATGGGCCGGGAGCAAGGATGCAATGCCAGGCTCCCCACCCCAGCACTCGTGGCGATAAACTGTGCATTAACAGACTCCTCCAGTGAGGCTTTCCTACCTACGATATTGTGATTTATAAAAAAATACATATACGAAGGGGGACCCTGAAAAAACTGGAATTATCTTCTGAAGCCCTTGTAGTACAGGCTTCCCCCACTAGGCGAGTGTTCTAGGAACCCATCTGTACCAGTGCACCAGTTGGCGTTGTTGTGAAAGGCTGCATTCAGCTTCAGTGAAATTTTTTTGAAGACTCAGTGCATTTGCCCATGTCATGATGGGTGATTTACGAGTGGACCTGCGACACTCTGCTGAGTGTTCAGCAGTTTTTCCCAAAAATGGCATAAACTCCATGCCCCACTCCCCATTCATCCAATCTCAACCCAAGCTACTTTTTTTTTTTTGTTTCCCTGGGTGAAAAAAGTCCTCCAAGGGAAACATTTTGCCCATGTGGAAGAGGTGGAACAAAAAACAGCAGAAGCACTAAAAGGCATCAAAACTGACGAATTCAAAAACTGTTTTGACTGATGGAAAAAAGTCTCAATGGGTGTATTGCATAAAATGTAGAGTATTTTGAAGGTGACTGAAGTTTAAACATGTAAGAATAAATGTACATTTTAAAATATATTTTATTGATTATGCTATTACAGTTGTCCCAATTTTCCCCCTTTATTTCCTCCAAGCAGTACCCCCCATTGCCTCCGGCATTCTCCCCTCCCATTAGTTCATGTCCATGGATCATACACATAAGATCTTTGGCTCCTCCCTTTCCCATACTATTCTGAAACTCCCTCTGCCTATTTTGTGCCTACCATTTATGCTTCATATTCCCTGTGCCTTTTCTCCCATTCGCCCCTCCCTCCACTCCCCACTGATAACCCTCCATGTGATCTCCATTTCTGTGGTTCTGTTCCTGTTCTAGTTGTTTGCTTGGTTCATTTTTTAGAGTCAGTTGTTGATAGTTGTGAATTTGTTACCATTTTAATGTTCATAGTTTTGATCTTCTTTTTCTTCAATAAGTCCCTTTAACATTTCATATAATAATGGTTTGGTGATGA